AAAAACTTCTCTAGTCTCTTCACAACTAAAAATGTCTATCGTACGAAAAAGAGATGGTTCTTGGTTATTAATACTTCCATAGAACGGTCCAATCGACGATCGTGAGAATTGAATCGATACATACTAAAATTCATTTTTCAAGTAGAGTAATCAATTATACCAACATTTGAGATGAAACGTTACGAGATAGACTAACCTGGCACTTAAATCGAAAACGAAATATATCTTTTTAGGACGAGCTTGGTAGAATCCACTTTCGGGTTCATTTTCACCACGGCGCTTATAAATATTTATATCGCCAGTTAATCCTTCGATTCTAAATAGCGGGCAAAATTAAGTTATTTTGACCAAAAACTATATTTAAATTATAAGTTACATAAAGTTTTAGGGATTTTACAATTTCATATCATCTACATCTCCGGAACTCTGATTTTTTAACCATACACGTTCTTTCTCCTTAGCTTCAATACTTTCTAATATTACATGGAGCTCTCGAATTTCACGTTGAACATTGGCTTTATATGAACGATACAACTCAAAATCTTCTTGAGTCATGTTGATTTGTTCAAGTCGTGTTTGCATTGCCAGTTTGTGCAATTCTCTAAAAACATGAAAAGCATGTTATTTTATTCATAAAATAGATACACTTATTAAAATACATACCTTTGGGCGTCGGTAAGTTCAAGTGGTTGTTTAGCTTCAGCCCTCTAAATTTATATATATAATTGGTTCAATAAGGCAAGTAACATAAAAATGGATCAAATCTTTATTAATATACTCACAAGCTCCAAATTTTCAACATCTACAAAGGTTTGCTGCCTTCCTTCAGAATTCATTGGATCACCACCACTACCCCCAACACCTTCGTCATTGCCATTACCATCTTCTTGTCCAGAACCACCATCGCCATCACCACTACCAGGTCCGAATCCGCTACCAAATATATCATTTATCATATCATTAGGAGTCTCTGATGCGTATTTAGTAATGTTACCCTAATTTTCATGAGGTTAATGTTTAAGTTCATATTTTAGAATATATGTCGAATACTCTATTAATACAAACCTCAGGATCATCATATATAATAGACAAAACACGTTGATCAATATTGCCAACCAACTTTTTCCATGCATTAACTGCTTTTATTAATTCACCCGCATCAACTTGCCATATTCTTGCGATGCCTATAAACAATTAATGTTCCGTACAAATCGATACAATGCAAAATAATAAGTATTCTTACCACTATTATCCATTGTTAATAAATCGCCATTAGGCATTTCCAACAAATATGCAGCCACCCTATCAACTTGCATGTATGGATGACCCGTTGCTGGGTTTCTACAAAATAATATAGCATTAAGATTATGATTATACAAACCTTAAATCCATAAAAAATGAGCAACTTTACGTTTTGTTAATGCCAGGAACAGCCAATGGAAGAACAATCCTCCATAATACTTTTTGAACAGGATTGAATAATTCCAAATATCCAGTACTTCTACCGTCCTATAGTTATGACAAAGTCAAAATTAAAAGGTAAGGACTTGAAAGTCGAGTATAAACTTTAATCTTACTTTTGATGGAATCACAGTTGCCAATTGACCCGACTTAGTCAGATATATTGAAACATTGTTTAAATTTTTGTAAAAATTTTCATAGTTTCCCTCATCATTTGAGTCTCTCATATATGAAAAAATTTCGACATCACCCGTATTACTAATTAAAGCTTCTGGTAAATTTGAAATAATGGAAGCTGCTATTGAACCATTATTTGTTTGGAGAAAACGTGCACATAATCTAATAAATGAAATAACTTGAATAAATTGATAACCCATATAAAGTATCAAGGTTCGTTTAAACATACACATTAGCCTGTGCAACACCTTCTTGAGAGAGATATGTAATTTCTGCCGGAGTAGGCCTTAGTAATCCGTTGACATTAATAACATTAAAGCTTTCAACAACATTAGGGATCCTAATAAGTTCAATGATCATATTAATATTTGTATGATACAAATACCATTGGCCACTGCTTAAAATATCCCCCTTCACCATCAGTGGAATCGACAGTGCAAGGTGCTATCAGATCTCGAGTTCTGTAAGCGATGGATAACTATGAAGATTCGATAATATACTTACAAGCCCTCAAAATTATTATCTGGCTTTGCGTAAATAAGAAAATGTTTATTGAAGAAGTCTATAAAAAGCCACACATCAGGCTTGACTAAGTATAAATGGGTAACTAAATGATTAAATAGTAGCGGTAAGTAAACAGTAAATGTCAAAAGAAAATCAATTATAAAATATAAAAAAAAACTTGCTTCTCATGGATGTTTCAATTATATATAAAGCATTTGCATTAAAGTCAAGCATAATGATGGATGTCCTTCCTTGTTGGTAAAAAACTGAAATTATAAACACAAAATAATTATATATTGCACTCTTTTACTAGCTATTTGAATCTCAAAAAAACAGCGTACCTAAGATTCCAATGGCTTCAAAATCCTTTAGCATAATTGTTTCTTCTGGGCTCAATATTGGTAACTATTTGAATGCATAAAAAGACATCTATAGGTCGATATATTATGCGTAATTTCAAATTGTGAATATGTGAAGAAAAAACAATTAGTATTGAAAATACCGTAAGTGCAGTTATAGAGTTTTTGGAGAAATCGATTGAATGTATCGAATTATCGGAAGAGCTATGAAGTATTAATAACCAAGAACCATCTCTTTTTCGTACGATAGACATTTTTAGTTGTGAAGAGACTAGAGAAGTTTTT